CGCAGTCGGGGCAGCGGAAGGGCCTCTCCTCTGTGTGAATCCGCTCATGTAGGAGGCAATGGGAGCTGGTCTGGAACCTCTTCCCACACTGAGGACACTCATAGGGCCTCTCACCAGTGTGGATGAGCTGGTGTCTTCTCAGATTGCAGCTCAACCCAAAGCTCTTCCCACATTCCAAGCAGGTGTGGGGCCGTTCCCCAGTGTGGATCACCTGGTGCCGGAATAGGTCAGAGCTGTCTCTGAAGCTCTTCCCACATTTCCCACACTCGGAGGGCTTTTCCCCACTGTGGAACCGCTGGTGCCGGATCAGGTTGGAGCTCCAGCTGAAACGCTTCCCACACTCCTCACACTCGTAGGGCCGTTCCCCAGTGTGGATCACCTGGTGTTGGATAAGGTGAAAGCTCCGACTGAAACCCTTCCCACATTCCAAGCACTTGTGGGGCTTCTCCCTGCCATGAGGCTTCTCCACCAGCTCCGAGCTCTGCCTGGATCTCTGGCTGCCTTCCTGGCTCAGGGGGGCTCTTTGCTCCCCGCAGCTCCCTGGGCTGGGTTTGCAGCCCCTCCTCGTGCGGGATCTCCAGGGCTTTTTCTCCTCCTCCTCCATCCAGACATGCCCTGAGAGTGAAAAAATCCTGGTTTGGGGGAAAAAACAAGACGAGAATTCCTTGGGCTGGTGGTTCCTCTATGCCCAAGTTCATCTCAGAAGGTCATTGGGCATCCTGTGTCTCTAAGAACCTCCAAAACACCAAGATTTGCCAAAAATCCTCCAAACTTCAAGACACAGATCAAAAACTCCCCAAACATCACGATTCAGCTGAAACTCCCTCTACAAGGTAAACGCTCAGCCCCCACAAAGAAACACAAAAGCACAAACATTTAGTCTAATAAAGCTCAGAAACAGCAAGATTAATTCCCAGGAAAATTGTGGATTCCCCTCCCTGGTCACCGACTGCAGGTGGTGGGGGAGGACAACGCTCCTGGGGCTGAGGGGAAGGCTGCAGATACAGGGAGGGGTGGAACCTTATGCTTCTTCCTCTTTCTGCTCCTACTCCTCCTCATGTGTTACTACTCTTCCTCACACTCCTCTTCCTC